CGCAAAGATATCAAATGTTTGGAAAGCATAAAAACGCCGGCCAATGATACCTGGGAAACCAATAATTCGTGACATTTAAATCATCAAATATTGTTTGATGTAATGGTAGGAATTTTTATGGTAGAAATGGTAGAAATTTTTAAAGAAAAGTTATGGTTTAAGCACTCAATAGAGAAAAACATACTCCTATAAAAATATACTAATTTAAAGTAGTTGCAAATGCCTAATATTTTGACGTCATTTAACTCATCTTCATTACCCAGTGGGCACCGGACCAAAAAAAGTCTTTTTTGAACTTTCAAAAGTCGTCCAAAACGTTCAAAAGACGTCCAAAACGTGTATAAGACGTTTAAAAGACGTTTTTTACGTCTGTGCCCACTGGGTAGTTAGTAGACATGAATCAATAAACGTAATAGACAAATTTAAAATGATTATATAATTAGAAAGTTTTATGAGGACTTATAATCTTTTATAAGAAAAAAAATATCTTAAATATTTTAAAAGTTTTGAGTGTTAGTAACACTCCCTCGTGATTTCATAATTTTATGCTAATACTAGACCGGAAAAGAAGCCAATAGTGTTGCTAGTATGCTGCATTACAATTTTGAATGATTATTACCAAAGGAATAACTTGTTCTTTAAACATTTTATTTAAAAACTCCCTTAATTTTAAAGCATCTGATGTACAGGAACTTATTCTACATAAGGATAACTGTGGTTTTTTTTTCCAATAATACCAATAGAATTTATTTCAGAACAAAAAGGAAATTTATAAATGAAAGGTATTTTCTAAATGCGAGAGAGATCGGAAAAACAATGATTTAAAACTTTGGATTATTAACATGGGCTTTCTGCTTAAAAGAAGGCAAAAAAAAAAACGCTCTAATGGAAAATAGATTATGTCTAAAAATAGCCCAATGCATCGCAAAGAAGACATAAGAAGATTTATGAAATGAAGCTTAAAAGCTTAAAACTGATTTTTGAATAAATTATTTATCTTTTTTGATTATTAGCCAAAACATCGGTTCATTAAATATTTTTTGATTATTAGCCAAAACAACGGTTCATTAAATATTATATATATATATACATTATATATATATATATATATATATATATATATATATATATATATATATATATATATATATATATATACATATTTATATATATATATATATATATATATATATATATATATATATATATATATATATATATATTTATATATATACATATATATATATATGTATATATATATATATATATATATATACATTTTCATTTAAACAAGCTATGTCTGCCTTTTGAACAAGGTAGAAATAGCTTGTTTGAATGAAAATGATGAATTTTTTCTATGATGGCATACTGACGAGTTAGGTATGTTGCAATATTGACGGGTTGAGAAAACCTTTTTTTTTCTTAAAAACGACATATTTGTTAGTGAAGTAAAAAACAATTTTTACTTCGCTAAACATTTTTTGCTTTCAAAAACACATAAAACGCAATACCTCTTAGGCGCATGCACGAGTTTCTACACCTGCTGTGTAGCACGAAAATGTTAGTTAAGATGATTACGCTTAATTTCTGGAATTTCTGATGGAGGGCTCTAAGGTCAAATAACCCTTGATGCTAACCAGCCCCATCCTCCCCTATGACATCATAGGAGCAGTTGTTGTCTATGATGGCATACTTATGCTTTTTTTTTAATAAAAATAACTAATAAAAAATTAAAACTGATAAAAACTCCTATAGTTTTTATTGATCTACATGTAACAAAGAATGTACTCATATCAAAACTTCCGTTTTTTCTTCAGGATACTGAATAAAAAACGGAAGTTTTTTATATTTAAATTGTTTAAATTTATATTTATTTAAAAAAAACAGCAAAAAAAACAGTTCTTCAGGATACTAAATAATGAAGCTTTGAAGTTAAGTATGTCATCATAGGCGCCTTGTATACATGGGCGGATCCAGCATTTTTGGTCTTTGAGATAGCTAACTTCTAGACATGGTGCAAACTCCAAACATTTATATGTTTATACTTATGTTGAATAAGGATGCTATGCAAGAAATTGCGATGATTAGAGCCTGGGGACAAAAAAGCCTCAAAATTTTCGTTTCTCTGCCCCAAACGTGAGAGCCAGAAATTGATAAAATGTTTTTTGTATTATTCTTAACTAAACTTATATTTATTGATTAATTTTAAATTTAATATATTTCAGCGTTCAAAAATTATGACCATATAAAGTTTGAACCTCCCTCAAATTGAGGAGGTGACAAATTTTATATGGTCATAAATTTTTTGCAAAGCATCTTTATATGGCATAAGTATAAACGTATAAATGTATAAATGTCTGGAGTTTGCTCCATGTCTGGAAGTTAGCTATTTCAAAGACCAAAAAATGCTGCATCCGCCCCTGTATATATATATATATATATATATATATATATATATATATATATATATATATATATATATATATATATATATATATATATATATATATATACACACAGACACACAAATTGACGTAATTTTATAGGGGAGGGGGGTTCTGGATATTTGACAAATTGTTGACATGGGGAGGGGAGAGGTAAAAATTTTAAAAAATTTGTTGACGTAATTAATGGACAGTCCCAGAAAATGATTCTAGCAGATAATTTTTTAATCTTATTAATAACGTAAAATGTCAACATTTTCTTAATTGTAAACTAGTTGGAAAAGGCTAAATTAACTTACGACTAGCCAAGTAAAAATATGTTTATCAAATCGAAAAATATGTTTATCAAATCAAAAATACTTATTTTTTGTTAATTAATTAGCAAAGAAATTTAATATAACTACAAATATGTTATTGTGAACAAGTAAAATGAATGTCCAGTGTATAGGAAATTAAACAAAACAAAAGATAATTTTATTTCAAAAGGAATGACCTTTGCATTCAAACTTGTATAATAATTCGGTTTTGTTGTTGTAGCTATTATGGTGCTTTTAGAAGTCCTTATGAATTTATCACAGAGCATCGCGAAAGAGTATTTAACTAAGAAGTTTACTCCTACTTCCTTTCCAATGTTATTTGATGCGCAAGAACCAGCTTCAAACCTCAAAGACTCCTACCCTCCCCCCCTCCCCCATAAGACTTTCCCTCCACAACACTCTCCCACTCCAATCCGCCTTAATATTTTAGTTAAAAGACTTTTTTTTTTTTAAGAAAAATCTACAATTTCTAAAATCTAAAATTTCTAAAATCTAAAATCTAAAATTTTAAAAATTAACAACTGCTCTCTTCCACTTCAAAACCCGTGTTGTCTGCCCTGTTGTTAGTTGCATAAGTCAGAAAAACATGATAATCGGTTGATTAGTTCCAAAAAATTAAAAAAACTAGACGAATAAAAACTTTTTAGTGCATCAGGGACAGATACAATATAAAGATGCTACTTTACTGAATGAAAAACCAAGGGAAAATTTTGGTTGATAGAACTAATCTGTATAGCTCCTTTGAACATTTACCTGATAGTATTTGTAGAAAAAAGGTGGTAAGAAAAAAGCATCATTAGAGGAACCACCCCAAGTATGACAACAATATACCATACAGGGATGAATAAGAGATTTGTAGAGGTTGAGAGTGGTATCAGTAAAAAGACAAACCTTGGCTTTGTAATTGATTGCATATACTCAATTTTCTGTTTCGTTCATCAAAACTTGACGTGTTCATCAAAATGGATAAAAATGATGAAAAGCAAATGCGCAAATGTCTAATGTTTTAAGGCCTTGAGCGACCCTTAAAAATATTTTTTATTTAAAAGTCTTTTTAACATACACACTTATACAAAAAATTCAACCAATGGACCAAGGAGTCTAGGTGTAGAGGTTTTTTTTGTTAACGCGTTTTTTTGTTACAATTGCTTTAAAATCAAAATTTTTCACAGAATCTTAATTTGTTATCAAAATTTGAAAAAAAAAAAACATTGAAGTTATTAAAAATAATTTTATTCAGAAATTTTATTCAAAAAAACTCTGGCTAGAATAATGCCTCCATGGCCAAACGCAAAATATGTTTAAATAATATTATTTGGACACGTTGTTCCAAATTAAAAAAAAAAAAACACTTACAGTTGGTGTGTGTTCTGCTATCATAAGTTTCAATGATAATATTAATGGTGATAAGTTTCAATGATAATATTAATATTGAGAATGTTTTTGATTGTTTGAATTTTCCACGCGAAAGTTTTTTTAAATGAAATGCATTAAAAAGTGACTAGCTTTAATTCATTAAAAATAGTCATTTAATATTTTAAAAACACAGAGAGACGTAAGAAGAGGACTAAGAAAAGAGTTGAAAAAAGTTACATTAAAGGATGTCATCCTTATAATTCTGAATCCCATTGAGTTAGTTCTGTTTTGTTTTATGTAAATAAATATTTTGAATATCTGATTTTTAAAAATTGTTTTTCACAAAACATGTTTTTGTTGTTTTAGTTAAACCGTTTAAATAATATCTTTATTAATACTTTATAAAACTTCTTGAAATTTTCCACAAATGTTCTTGACTAATATAGCTAACACAATAACTCTCTTTGAAGAAGAAGAGTCTTGCTTATTCATTTTTGTGCTTATGAAATTTTGAATAGGCGAGTAAAATCAAACCAAAATCAACTTTTTTTTTTTTTGATTAAAAAAAAAGGAGATTTTTCTGTCTTCATTCACCCTATATTTGTAATTCATGTTAACTATAATTATAATTATCTTTTTTTAAGAAAACAGTTGTCTAATTTTATAGAAGTCACTTAAATATTAATGTCAAAGCATTAGGATGACTTGAAATAATTGAGACGAAGAAATATAAAATAAAATTTTAAAAAGAAAATCCAAATATCTAAATATATTCCGATTGAGGTTTTTAGTACTAAAATAAATAAAATACAAAAAAAAAAATTATAAACAACAAACAAACTAGAAATATGAAAATTAAATTGAAAAAAAAACATTTTCTTACCTTTTTTACTCCAAGATAATGGTTTATTATTAATGTTGCATACATATTTTAGTATAAATAGAAACGAACGGTGCGAACAAACTCGCCATTCATTGGCTTCTTTTTTTTTAGGAATAAAGTCATTAACTAGAAGATTCTTGCTAATTTTATTTTTGAGATCAGTTTCTTTTTTAAGTTTATCATTAGTAAAAGTCCCACTCCATTCTTCGTAATACCTCCTTAAAATTTTATTTAAACGCAGCGTTAAAACACTGCTGTCTTCTTGTTCTTTTTTGCTTGAAGTAATAGAATCTACATCTAAAACGGATGATTCTATCGTTTCTCCATATGCTATTCTTTCACTTATATGAAGAAGTAGACAAAGACATACAACCGTCATTTTATCGTACATGGTATATGTTTATGTTTATAAAAACGGTTTCCGATGCTTCTGTAATATAATTTTCGTATATTATTTCAGTAACATATACAGTTCGTTTAAGTAAAATTAAAAATTATTTGCAAACTATTTGATTGTTCCTACATTGTACTAATTTAAAACGGTCAATAAAATAAGCATGTGTAAATATTTATGCGAACAAGTGAGAGCCAATAGTTTATCATGTTAAAACCTTATGAGATAAAACTCCAACAACGAGATAAAAATTCTATATTTTCAGAGTTTATTATATCTCATCAAAATAAATTAAAGTCTTAGAAGGCGACATTGACAGGTATTTTCTTTTTACATAATAGGTAGATTTGTACGCAATTTATTTGCATTCGCAATGCATAAATACGCATTTTTTTTTACGCATATTTTAATATTTACTTAATAGGATTAAACATTCGTTGTGATTGTTACTAAGTGACCATCATTATATTTATTAATTAGTTAAGTTATAAAGCAATTTTCTACAGGATTTAAATAATCGTATATTTTTCATTACAAATGTACATAAGAAAAGTAAACAACCATACACTATGGAAAAATATTAGGTGTCTGTTATGCACATTTAGAGCGTTATTTAGAACATTTAAGTTTTATTAACCCTTGTTAAGCAGTAGAAAAAATACTAGATGAAAACACATAAAACATTTTTATAAAAATTATTACTTTTAAAAAAAGGGAATGGTTTTTCAATTTGTTCAAAATTTCCTATGTATCGTTAAATATTCATATATTTTACAGATTTTTGAGAACTAGCTAACGTTCAAGCTTCTTATAATAAAGATCCTATAGTGTTTATATACTTTATATACAAACAGGGCCGTCCCAAATGGGGGTGTAGGGGGAATCCCATCGCCCCAAAGCTGTTATATATGCATTTGAGTTGGTGCATTTTTCAGTTGGCCAGTTTTGAAGTATAGTTGGCAAATGTCGACCTTTTCTTTGTTTGTATCTCTAGTCGCAACGACATACGACACCCCCTCCCCATGAAAGATCTCTTTGGGACGACCCTGTATACATACATGTATATATATATATATATATATATATATATATATATATATATATATATATATATATATATATTTATATAAATATATATATATATATATATATATATATATATATATATATATATATATTTATATATATGTGTGTGTGTGTGTGTGTGTGTGTGTGTGTGTGTGTGTGTGTGTATTCACACACACACACACACACACACACACATATATATCTTTATATATAAAATTACATTTTAATTTTATATGAAAATAAAAGTTTTTAAGTACGATAAATCCAATAATAGGATTATCTAATTGAATGGTTTTAATTTTGATTGAATAGTATAATATTGAGATTTGAAACTATAAAGTATTTTAAAATCAAAAAATAAAATAATGTTTTAAAAATATATTATATTATATTTATGATTAGAATTTATAATTATGTCTTATCAATACACGAAAACAGCGAACTATTTTATTGTTCGTTGTATAATCATCAACTTTGTGATAAAATTCTACTAACACTCAAAATACGTTCTGCGTGTTAAAATTTATAAACAACTACCTAATTGAAAAAAGTTTTACTCGCATTAAGCCTTATTACTATTCTCGCCAAATTTTCAATAAAAATTAATATTGACGTGCGGCAGTTATTCATACAATCTCATTAATTGAGTACACAATTTTTTTTCCCTTTCAGTTTTTATTTTAAGATTGTAATATTCATCAATTTTGTTGCTATTAGCAATGAATATTACCATCTTAAAAAACTAAATATAGCAATTTATCAAAGCAAAATAATAAACAACATTAGAATTTTATGACAAAATTATGAAATCAATTTATTAAAACAAATTATAGCAATTATATAATAATACATCACAACATCTTTTGATATTTAAGTATGTTGAACGATAAACATTCAACCAATTGATATATGCACAATTGATAACATAGAAAATTATAGCCTTTTCATTTTGAAAAATGTTGCTTTTATATATGTATCTCAGCCGGCACATCTTTGACATTCACATTAGTCGGCATCTTTCACAGCACACTTTTATAGTTTCACTTTTACAGAATTAAAACCTGTAAACTAGCGTATATAAAAAGTGCGTTGATTTCTCGGACAGTTTTACTAAAGTTTTATAAGTGTTTTATCAGGTATTAAAGTCAAATTTAAATGCCGCGTTCTTTTATTACTTGTTTCACATTTGTTACGAAATCTTAATATATTATACAACGTTTCCGTAACAATAAAACCGTTTATAAAAACTGAATATCCTAAATGGTAAATTGTAATAGTTAATTTCACACAAGTGTGAAATTAAACTCTATTCTTGAAAACCCTATTCTTGAATCGTGTAATTCTTTTTGTTTTAAAGGGTTTTAAACACGCATCTGAAACCATGCGTAACTTTTCACAATGTTTTTCCGGTATTTTTAAGACATTTTGGGTGCTGTTGATAAAACTGAAAAGTCATACAACATTTCCTTTTTTTTAATTTTTCAAAATACTATTTATTAGACAAAAGTCTTTTATTAACTTTGTGCAATACAAGAAATAAGGCAATATATTGCCCAAATTAATCTATTAATAGATTAATTTGGACAGTGCTGAAAACATGTACATGGTATAAACATTTAAAGTACTTATTGACATGAATTATCATTTTAGAAAAACACGATTTTAAGTTCTTGAGTTTTAATCGAAGAATAAAATTAAACGTTTTGTATAATCATCTTATCTGAAACTTTTAATTACAAATTTTTTGATTTGACAGCCCGCTGGTTGCTTAGGTATATAATATTGTCACAATATGAGACTAGTATACTTTGTATTTTTACTTTTTATTCCATAATTATTTTACAACTAAAACTTTTAACAATATACTTTTATCATTTTTTTTTTGCTCACTAGCATTAGTCACCAGATAGCTTACCATTACTACTTTGATTGCTGCATTATACACAGTGTTCTCTATAACTTAACCTTACTGTTACAAACGCAAAAATTTCAGGTCTTTTCTGCCACCGTAGGGACGCTCTTGCCCGAGACATTTTTCTAACACTCACGTCTGTAACACTCATTCTGTAGTTTATTTGACTAAAGAACTATCGCTTTTTAGTGTATTAGAATTTTAAACTGATTTTAATGTAATAGTTAATAAACGAAAGTCCTCGGATTAGAAAAGATTTTAATGGTACTGCTTATATTTTCTTTATTCGTTTCATAAAACTTAATCTACCATTGCAGTTTCTAATGTAGATTTTTGTTTATGTATGCCTAAATAATGTTAGTGTAAACTTAAAAGTTAAGATTAACTTTTTATTTGGAAAGTATAACACGTTTGAACCTATGTTTTTAAGATTACTGAAACACACAGAGGTAATATTAAATCTATAAAATTAAAAAGACTATTTTGCTGACTATGTTGCTGAGTTTATATGTTAATATGCAGTATCTGAGCATATTAACTTATTTCCATTGAAATACTCACAATATGGTGGCAAAAAATTTATTATTTATTAGCTCAACAAAAAAGCTTTTCTGGATATTGTTCTGTGCTAAACACCCCAACTTTAAAGTTAGCAAATCTTTTTACTGCATTTATTACATAAAAAATTTCAACTAAAAATTTGGACAATCAAAGTTGGTTGTGTGTTGCGCATGTGAGGTGTTATACACAAAAAAAATTCCCTTATTGAAACCCTGTTGCAAAGAAAACCGCTGAACCTAAACTTTAAGTTTGCAAAAGAAAAAGCAAGAAATTTTATTCAGCTTTGAAGCATGAGAATTCTGATGGAGCTAAAAAATAAAAAATAAATAATGATCGATAATAATATATAATAATATGTGAAAATTAGAACGACTTTTCCCATCATGGTGCAATAAACTGATTTAATTAAATAAAAAGCTTTCACGTGTTAATAGTATGTTGTAATTAATGCGACACTATGTTCCCCAACATTTTTTAATATCAATTTACTATTACAATATTCTCCTCCTACCTAAGCTATTGTTGTTTGGGATCAAAGAGGTATTTTTCTAATAAAACATATAAGCATATAAAATTTTCTTTTAAATTGTTTAAATTGTATAAAAGTTTATAACGTACTTCCAGAAGAATTATGTCATTTTCTCCTTTACGATTTAATATCCAAAATAGGGTTTTTTTAATTAAAAATTCTAAAGTTTCAAGTTCTTGTGAAACTTTATAATTGTCTCTTTGTGCTTGATTTTCTTTAAAATAATCTACCAAATTCGCTTAATAGTTTTTTTATTAAAACAAGTGATTCACACAAAAATTATACTCGAAATACTGAAAATAATTTGCAAACTTCCTTTTTCAACACTATCAAATAAGGCAAGCTCACTATAAAACAATTATGTATTTCTCAAAGAAACCAATTAATACCTTTTAAAAAAGGAGAAAAAAGATTTTAAATAGGTTCTCTTCTATTACCAACATCCTTTAGTTAAATCGAAACCATATTAAGAAATTTTTTTATGAGTATATATCTGATGAATATTAATTTTATCTTTTTTTTTTTTTTTCTTCATTGTATTACCGTATTAATAAAAATATTATTATTTTTGATTTATTTTATACTATTTTTATTAATTTTATTACTGTTACTATTTATATCATTACTTTATCTTTGTTTTAGATACCTTATTATATTATTTATAATAATAGTGATAGTGATTCCATTGTATTAATAGTTTTATGGTTATAGTTGAAGTTTTTGCAACTGTTATGTTGATTTCTGTCAAAGTTATAAATTTTACTATAACTATTTTTACTATAGTTATTATTATTAGTTATAATTTTTATTAAAGTTATCATATCATAGCTATTACTTGTAATGTTTTTTTATTCTTATTCTTATTCTTATTATTATTACAACTATTAATTATTTCATTATTTATTGGTGCTTTATTTTCTTTTCTTTCCTTTTTTTTCTCTCCTGTTTTTATGCTTTTATGTTAGTTTTCTTTGTTTATTATTATTTTTTTTTATTTACTTGTTTATTTTTTTTTTTAGGTGTCACTGGCTAGTTTTTAACTATACGACACCTAACCTTATTTATGTGAGTTTATAGTATATAGTTTTTATTTAATT